GGATATCCTTATCCGTAATAGCTTCGGTGGTATCCTCCGTATCCGTAGCCCCCGTATCCTCCATATCCACCTCCGTAGCCGTATCCACCATATCCACCATATCCACCATACCCACCATAACGTCGGTAGCCAGGATCAGGGTCAGCCACGGGGTCAGGCTCAGGCATGGCACTGGTCCAGCTCACCAGGCATGCCAGGGCCACCACCAGGGCCAGAGCCATCGAGATCTGTAGACATAAAATAGTTATATGCAAGAATTGATCAGTGCATTTGTTTCATTAGACATATAAAAAGAATATGAAAATGATCTCAAGGTAATGCATGAAATTAAAGATAAATACTATTGTCTGTACTACTACCAGTAGTAATAGTAGCTGTGGTGATAATCGTAATAACTTAATGATTCTTACCATATATTCATAATTACGTATGTACTCACCAGCTTCATGTTGAGAATATGTTCTTACTGCGAACTCAGCGGAGACTATGCGTCTACCGCAAAGAGAAACGCCTTATATAGGGCACAGGACAAGAGTCAAGGCTACTCGCGCAATGTTTTCACGAAGGTCATTTTATACAAAAATATCTAATATATTTATAAACACAGCTACGGACACACCCATACACAAACACACACAAACTCTATTTCAGACAAAATTATACATGTTAATACGTACCTCTATATACTCACATTAATCCAGATATATATTTACAAATGGAAAGACAAACATCACTGCATTTTCAACTTATCTACAATAAGGATAAAAGTCAATATAAGCACAGTACGATTTTTACTTATAAATGCCGCATATAGGTTCAGGTAGTTATTAATTTTACTTATCTTTTAATCAATATTGATCCAATATGATACGTAGGATACTTACAGAATGTATGTACATATGCCTATGTATTCATCTGCTTATATACAACCACGTACACGCATATATGTGTGAATATGCGATGTGTATGTACGCATGTGGTGAAATGAGTACAAATTACAATTTTATTTTCATGTCACCTTCGTAAATTGTGTATAAAATAAATCACCCGATATAAACTAGAGTGTATGGCGGTTTAGTAAGTAAAAAGCATTATAGTGAGTGATCGTGTAAATCGCTTTTACGAAATATATACGAGGGACCACAGAATGTGCAAATCCAACTTCATATGTTAATCTAAATTTGCATATTTCATTTGCTTAAGCGTACCTTTCTATTCATAATTGTGAGGATTACTTCAAGAAATTGTGACCCATGGAATGAGCTTAAACAACAGTTAATTGAATCACTTATATGTAACATGGACTAGAGATATCTTTGAAGAATATTTTTGCGCACTGCATAAACTTATACACATGACTTCATAGGTTATGTTATTTAATTAACCTTACGCGTTTCATATGAGTCGCATTCTTCTTACATCTGTGTGAATTTACTTCAAGTAATTGTATTTTGTGAGACGTTTAGACAACGGTCAAATGAATCACTTAAACGTAAAAAAGAATAAAAAAAAAAAACTTTGCACAACATGAGAAGTGTAAGCACTATGAAGGTTTCTAATGCAAAGTCTTTCCTAAATGCTTTGGAATAATTTCGAAATGTATTTAGATGTACTGAAAATATATTAAGGGATGAAGCAACTGTTAAGAAAATTATTGTCACACGCTAAGGACAGACAAGAAATGTTCTAATTTGCAAACTTAATGATCAATTAAACCCAAGGCTACAATGTTGTAGTCAACCGAGGAAACCAGCGAGTGACATGAGAATATAGAAAAATATGTATATATATACATGCTTCAGTATATATATATATTTCTCTTTTTTCATTTGATCAATCTTAGATATGCTTATGATGAATATTAATGTGAAAACTTCTTTTACATTTCTCCATCAGTTACTTAATTGTATAAGACACTTTCATACATACATGTATAGATATATCGCACATGTACATATAGTATATATGTGTGTGTATGCGCGCACACACACACACACACATACATATATATGTTTATATACATATATGTAATATATATCATATATATTATACACATATACATAATACATCAATATATCACACACACACAGATATATATACTATATTTAATACATATTTTCAGCTTATGTATGTATACACATTTATCTGTATATACACTCTATGTATGATTGTATACGTATATATATATATATATATATATATATATATATATATATATATATATATATATATATATATATGAACATACACACATATATACATATCTATATTATGATAGAGAAAAAAGCACAGGCAGATATTAATACCGAATGAATAAATATTCTGCAGTGTTAATAAGATAATAGAAAATCATCTACATAACGGTTCCACAGAAACTTTCCTTAATTTAATTTGTTATGAAATCCAGTATCTATATACGCAAACACTTATATATTCATATATTTACATATATGGATGAATAGACACACATGTATATATTTGTGTATACAGTTGTGTATCTGTGTTTCTATTCAGAAATGAGGATCATCAGAGTGTCTCGAGACTTCGCTCAGTGTACTAAAATTTTTGTTGCCATGGAAAGTTTTCCAGAATGATGCTTTGTTCTCGTGCAGAAACATGAATGCCTTAATATAGTAGAATGAAGAATCGATTTACATACGAACTTCATGTAAGGAATTATGTGGGTGCTCTATGATCTGTGGAGACAACAGAGTGCATGTAGGGTCATTCATTCGTTTTGGCATACTGGAGCAGATACACCTCTGTCAAAAAGCGTGCAATCCTTCACTTTCTCTCTCTATATATACATATATATACACCCACCCACGCACATGTATATGTGTGTTTTATATTTAGGTACTTGTGTATGTATGACCGTTTACGCACATTTGTTTGTGTGGATGTGTGTGCGCGCGCTCTGGCTACATGTATACGAGAAGTACGTCAACGGAATAAGATTTAACACATGAAAAAGCCAAATTTCATCTTCAGGTCATGCAACTTTCAGGGAATCTTTCTATATATATAGACGGCGAAAATGGCAGATAATAATCAAGCATAAAACAAGGCAATCATTCATATTCGTATAAGTAAATGAGCATATACATATATATGTGTATATGTATGGGTAGATTTAGATGTAAATAGAAAGACTGATAGACGTGTATATTTGTGTGTGGTTGTTTATGTGTAAGTATACATGTATGTAATGTTCATGTATACATCATGTGGCATATGTGTACGCACATATTATGTATGCATATACAAAATGAAAAATCTACAACTATATATCTGCACACACATACGCATATATATATATATCAACGAACATACATTTATATATAATGTCAATATATACATGTATATACATACATACATACTATATATATATATATATATATATATATATATATATATATACATGTGTGTGTGTGTGTGTGTGTGTGTGTGTGTGTGGGCTGAAACACTTATTTCTATAATTTTAAGAGTCTAGATCATGGAAAAAATCATAATGACTGATATTTTTACATTTTCTTAATAACAAACGAATTATATTTGATTCCTATTCATATGTTTATATAAAAATGCTCTTGCACTATCGAGGGTCATAATAGTTCTAAACATTGATTCATGAAGTTTATTTGAGAAGAAAAACAGAAAGTGAAGATTATGTAGAGTTGCTTTGAATGTTCTCGTGAAGAGCAGTAAGTAGGATATCCTTATCCGTAATAGCTTCTGCGGTATCCTCCGTAGCCGTAGCCCCCGTATCCGTAGCCACGACCTCCGTAGCCGTATCCGTATCCACCATATCCCAATCCACCGAAGACGGTAGCCAGGGTCAGCCGCGGGGTCAGGGTCAGCTACGGGGTCAGGCTCAGGCATGGCGCTGGTCCAGCTCACCAGGCATGCCAGGGCCACCACCAGGGCCAGAGCCATCGAGATCTGTAGACATGGAATAAAAGGTTATGTGAAAATGATAATTGCATTTTTAAAATTAGACATCTATAGATGTAATTTGTAAATGATCTTAAGGTAATGCCTCACATGAAATGAAAGATCACTACTGCTACTACTAACAGTAATAGTAGTTGGGGTGATAATGATGACCGTATAACATATCCATATAATTCTTATCATATATTCATAATTACGTATGTTCTCACCAGCTTCATGTTGAGAGAATGTTCTTGCAGTGGACTCAGCGAAGGCTATGCGTCTACAACAAGGAGTCACGCCTTTTATATGTCACAGGACAACAGCCAAGGCTACTCGCGCAATGTTTTCATGAAGGTCATTTTTACAAAAATATCTAAGATATCTATAAATATAGCTGCGGACACGCACACATAAACACCTCATATGGCCTCATATGCCAATGTTTATAAGACAATGTATCTGTCTGCACGCATACGGCACACGCACGCATATATGTGAATATATGTGTTTATGCACGTATGTGTTCAAATGAGTGTAAATTACCATTTTATTTTCATGTCACCAATGGTGATAAATCATCAGATATAAACCAGCGCGTATGGTGGTTTAGTAGGAAAGAATGATTCTAGTGAGTGATCGCATAAATTTCTTTCACGCAATATATACGAGTGACCATAGCATGAATAAAACTAACCTCATATATGATGTTATTGTAATTTTGCATATTTCATATGAATACCTTTTTATTTATAAACTACTTATTTGTGTTCTATGGGATGAGCCTAAGCATCGGTCAACTGAATCACTTATGCGTAACGTGAAACAGAGAGCTATCTTTGAATATTTTTGTAAACACACACATGACTTCATAGCTTATTTAATTAAGACTTGTGCATTTCATACGAGTAGCATTCTTCTTACATCTGCGTGAATTTACTTAAAGTTGTAAGACAAAGTTTAGACCGGTAAATTGAATCACTTGAACCTAACACATTAATTTTTTTTTTTGCAGAACATCGGAAGTATGAATGTTTTTAATATTAAATCTAATGCTAAATCTTTCCTGAACGTTTAGAAATATTTTCGAAATGTACTTAGACACTGAAAAGATATTTGAGAATGAGGCAATTGTTAAGAAAATTATCACACGCAAAGGAGAGACAAGAAATGTGTTCTAATGTGCAAACTTAATGATCTATAAAACCCAAGGCTACAATGTTGTAGTCAACCGAGGAAACAGAGAGTGACAGATGAGAATGTACAGGAAAAGTAGGAAAAAAGAAGAAAGTATATATATCTATATATATTCTTTTTTTTCATTTGATAAATCTTGGAATCCTTGCATATGATATGATGAATCTTAATGTAAAAACTTTTTTTTTACATTGCCCCATCAGTTACTTAAAACTGTTTATAATTTGTATATGCAAATTTTATGTATAAATACAGCAGAGATATAGAGCATTTATATGTATATATAGATATATGTATATTATACATATGTATAGATATATATATATATATATATATATATATATATATACATATATAT